GAGAGAGAGAGAGAGAGAGAGAGAGAGAGAGAGAGGGAGAGGGAAGGAGAACGAATGAGAACACACCAGGGAGTGGACTTTTATTGGGGAACAAAAAATTCTGGGGAAAATCCCATCCAATGAAGATTAAGGAGGGCAGTGTCCCAAGGTCAGGTGCCACGACGGGATCTTGGGGTAGTGGCCAGACACGCCTCCACACAGACAAGCCCTCGGACCTGAGAAGGGTGGGGAAAACTCTGGACACAAGGATGTGTCTAAGGCCTCTCCCCCAGTCAGGGAGGTAACTCAAATCATGTGGGAGGATGGCCTCCCAGAGACTGGGGCTATGGTTATAGTTCAGTGGTAGAGCACTTGTCTGGCACATGTGAGACACTGGGTTCAATCCTCAGCACCACATAAACATAAATAAATAAAAAATAAAGGTATTGTGCCCATCTACAACTAAAAATAATAATAAATAAAAAGGGCTGGGGATATAGCTCAGTTGTAGAATACTCTTGAATTTACCAGTCCCCCCCCCAGTACAGAAAGAATTACAACAAAGCCTTTTATCTAAATGTTTTTTAAAATTAGTTATATGTATCCTTTATTTTTAGCCATACAAAGCATGAAGAAAAGACTGTTGCCACTTTTTTAAAAAAAATGGTGTTGTAATAGCAAAAAAGGAAAAAAAAAAGAAGACAATAAATGCCCATGATTAGGAAATAAACTATTGCTATAACAATGCTGAAGAATACTATGCAGGCATCTAAAGAATCAAATTTCTTCATGCCATAATTTTAGGTGGAAAACACTTGAGCCCAATATGCTTAAAAATTTATACACTATGCTGCCATAAACACATATAAATACAACAAAATGCTGGAGATACTTTGATATTTGTATTAGAAAAATGTATTATGAGGCAAAAGATAATTAGTTGGTGTGCAGTAGAATCGTGGGGTCAGTATTTAAACTTTGTATAAAGTTCGATTTTTTTTTTTTTTTTTGGTGGTGGTGAAGATGGAATGGACAGGTAAACCTTTATCACTGAGCTATATTTCCAGTCTAATTTCTCAACATTATAAACAACCTCACTACTTTCATATATTCTTGTGTAATTAAAATTTTAAAAGAAATCCATAATAAGCAATTTAAAACTTGCAGAATTTTAAAGTATCTCTGACCAAAATCTCTTAAAGAAATAAAAATTAGCACAATTCAGCCTTAAAGTTTATTACAGTCACAGTATTAAGCTGAATCAGAAGACAAACTGGACTATTTTATTTTTTTTAGAGAAAGAATTTTAATATTTATTTTTTAGTTTTCGGTGGACACAACATCTTTGTTTATATGTGGTGCTGAGGATCGAACCGGGCCGCATGCATGCCAGGTGAGCACGCTACCGCTTGAGCCACATCCCCAGCCCATAAACTGGACTATTTTAAACAAATGAAAATTAATGATTAAAAAGCTTTTTTCGAGTTTAGGAGATGACAGAAATATTGAAAGCTGGTTGTACTGAATCATCTGAAATGAGCAACAGAGCAATGACCCTATTTATGACCCGCTGAAAAAAGTTGGCCTAACTTCTCCACTAACTTAACTGGCTGTCAGAGGAAATCTCAGGAGACTGAGGGTAACCGTCTGACACCCCAAGATGGGCTTTACTAGAGCCTGGGGCAGCTCCCAGAACTTCCAGCTCCAACTCACTTCACAGGCGAAAACTGAGGCCTTCTGGAAGCTGGAAGCTTTATGGCAGTTCCTAGAGGCCCTGAGGGAACTTTGTGGCTCTCTGACCGAAAATAAAAAACCCCAGCCAGGGTGCGACCCTCAGGCCGATCAAGGGGAGGAGGAGCTGAAGGCGGGGCCGCCGTTTCTGGGCGGGGCTTCCGGAGGTGGGGCTGCAGGAATTGGGACGGGGCGGGGCGCGGTAGGCTAGTGAGGGCCTTGAGGCGGAGCCACGGAGGCGTACGTTCTCGGGGGCGGGGCCTGGGCCTGAGGCGAGTGCGGGACGGCCCCAGCTCAGGGTACGCCAGGGGCGGGGCCAAGACACCAGGACCCTGAAGAGGTCGGGACCTGGGCGCCTGGGAGGGTCTGCGGGCGGAGCCGGTGCGGGGGCGTGGTCATGCGGGTGACGAGATAGGGCGCGGGCCGGCGGTGCGGCGCGGCGCTGAGCTGCGCGGCCAAGATGGCGTCCTCCGGTTGGTGGCGTGCGGCCTTGTTCCTGTTCTGCGTCTCTGATCTGCTACTGTTGTTGCTGCTTCCTCCTCCGGGATCCTGCGCTGCCGAGAGCCGGGCCGGGACGCCCGGCGATGCTACTCCTCCTCCGCGGAAGAAGAAGGACATTCGAGATTACAACGATGCGGACATGGCGCGTCTTCTGGAGCAGTGGGAGGTCCGCGGCGTGCACAGCCCGGTCCTTTTCGGTCCCGGGTCTGCTTCCATCCACCTACCCTGTCTTCCCCCCCTGCCCCGTCTCGGCTTCCTCTGACCCCTACTTCTCCTGCGCCACGAGTCTTTGCTGACCCATTCATGCCACCCTGACCCCCTTAGCCTCCCTTCCTCGCGGCTTGCGACCCCCGCCCCAGGCCTCTTGTCCGGAAGACCTCACCACTTGGCCCCAGTCACAGGTCACTCAGTACTTAGCCCTACTTTCCCCTTCTCTGCCCACTATAGTGGCCTCTGCGTTGGTGCTGTGGTCAGTGAGCTCCGCTAATGGGGAGACTCTTTTTCACTGTACCCCTGAAGAATATTTCCTCCATCCTCCACTGTTCAGGGTGAGCGGGTGGGATTAAGGGGCTTGTGGAGATGGATATTTTCCATCAGGCTATTTCAGCTCTGATAGTTATTCTGTCTTCTAAGTCAGTAGAATTTCTGACTGCCCATTTGGGGAATTTTGTAATTTTGTGGTATTTATTTTATTGGTGGTGGTGGTGGGGGAAGTAGCAAAAACCAATGGCTCGCAAATGTGGAACTCATCTTTGTTTAAAGGAGCAAAGACTAGTTTCTTGAGAGTGAGTTTATTTGTTACTTGGATGCACTGGACTGTGCAGTTACACGGAGTGTGAATAAGCGTGCACGGTGACAAAAAAAATTTTTTCGCTTTTTTCCTTTCCAAAAGTGGTTGTATTGCCCTACTGGATTTTCAGAGTTGAGAGAGTGGAGTCGAAAACTGGGGTTATGTTCTAAGTGTAATCTTGGGCAGGTCAAGTCTCCTTTTTGGGCCGCAGTTTCCTTCATTGCAAAATGAGGAGGTTTTACTGAAGGCTCCTAAGATTCTTTGTAAAGGTAATGCGTTGTGGGGAGAGGATAAATATTTTCAGACATGAGTTTAAAACACCACCTAATGCATTTGACTAGAAGAAAGCAGCTTTTTGTTTTTATATTTGCAGCTGATGGAAAGATTGGGGTAGACTTCAGTGTATCATACCCTGATGAAAAGGAAATTTTCTCTTCTCCTTTCCCTTGCAATCTTCTTGTCTCTTTTGGATTCTAACAGATAAAGCCTTTTGAACTGCCAAAGTGAGAACATCATCTCATGAGAAATCCTGCTGTGGAAGTATGCAGATTCTGAGCTAGTTGTGGAGGTG